GCTTGAGCTATTTCATTATATTTTCTGGCTTGGTTCCCAATCATTTTCTTAGCATCCCATTACAACAAACATGGAAGCTCATGCTTAGCATTTTTATTTTGTGTCTATTTCAGGTCCCGTTAATTTTTTGTCATTCGGAACATATGAGTTCTTTTTAGTGGGGGTTAATATAGGATGTAACCATCGATAGCTGTTATGCTGATATTTTTCTATATTTTTTATTAGTGCCTTTAAAATAAAAGATGATGTTTGCAGATAACTCTAATGCTCTGTTATTTGATCAACAAAGCCCACAGCCCACAGCATCTCTACAGAAATGCGAATTTTTAAAGCACATCAGAATACTGGGTAAAATCAGGAAACAAATATAGAAACAAATGAAATGACTATGAAAATTTACACAGAAATCTAGCAACACAACAGGAAATTGAAGCCTTTTCTTTTTGCATCTATTCCTACATATTAAATATAAAATTATTCTGGTTCACTGAATGAAGTATGCAGTACAAATTGTCTGAAGAGCTGTTAAAAAAATATTTTGCAAGTAACACTTGAGTTCTCCAATGGGACCCTTCGTTTTCTGGGTGATTGAACAATTTTAATTTCCAGTTGTACCTTCAAATTTTGGCTTCTTAGAAATTACACAGTTAATTTTAACTTTTGCTAAGAAAACCATAACTTCTTTAATGGACCAAAACATGGTACAAGAAGATTTAGTATGGTCTACAATAAGCTTTTATGAGCAGTTGTGGAACAGCCTGTTCAACAAGGCAAATCTCCTTTTATGGGTATGAAAGAGATCCCTAAACAATAAATTATTACATATGTTTTTCAAGGCAAATACTTTTTTCTAAATCATCACGTAAATTAGTGATATTTTTTCTGTCACACCTTAGCAATATCCACTAGCAAGATTGCCTCAAAACTCATTATGCAATATTGGAAAATATTTTCAGTTTTTAAACAAATTTTGATTTGATCTATAAGACAAAGGTTACCTATAGTAAATCCAACAGCTTCTAAGGAAATTTAATTGCTGTGTAATAAGGGGTACGATTCATTCATGTAGGTCTAGAGGGAGTTGGACTAGCTTTGAAATTATTAACATACCTGTAAATGATCTAGCACTTGAGGTAAAATGTTCAACATGAAAGTTTATGAGTTATTCAGGGTAGCAAAGATGGTAACAATGGAGAATTATAGAAAACATTTACAAGAGCAAGTGACTGAAAAAAAATGGCTAATGACATTCAGTCTGGATAGTTGTAAAGTAATGTAAGAGCAGAAACAAAAAAAAGTAACCCTAATTTTACACATTAAACAATGAGAGGTAGTAATTATTACTCTGGAAATGTAGCTTGTAATTATAAGAAACACTTCTATAAAAATATATCCTTGGTTTATCTGTCAGCAGCAGTCCAATTATTGAGTCAGATTTCAACAATTCTTAGGAAATAATTGAAAAACAGAATAAATCAGCAGGCATTTGTGTCTTGCTTATGTTTATATCTCATCCTTTAGACTCAAAGAATCTACAATGACGCAAGAAGCCATAAACAAAGACAGGAGAGCATTTCCAAGTAAGAAATAAGCAAACAGACTGTGATTTCCAGACTGGAAATCAATCCATATAATTATGATTTGGAAAAAAGTAGAAAGGGTTAATTGTTCCCAAACAAAAGACCCAGGAAAGGAGTTGGGAGAGAAGTGGCTCAGAAATTAGATTAGCACAGGGCAAATTCAAAAGAAACAGCTGGAATATTTTCCCCACAATGTATCTATGAAACACTTTGAGGTAGATGTTGAATTTACACAGGTTCAGCAATGTGCTGGTAAAGTTTGTGGTAGAACAATCTATTAGTTGCAATTCAATACAGATGTGCTACCACTCATTCAAGAAGCCTTTGAATCACAGAAACCTCTGAAATCTGGGACTGTATTTGGGGAAAGCAGCATTTTATGTTCACCTTAGTCCTGGGTTCTTCACAGGCATACACTATGTGTCTCTCTTGGAGACATGCTGGATTGTGAAGACCTTGGATCACTCTTACATTCCTCTTTAGTAGTTTGGTCACTATTTGGTGAAGCTCTAGTATGTTCCTGCCTCTTTCCTTGCTTTCAGTGTTTGCCCTTCGGAAGATGAATAGTTCTTTTAGTAGGCTTTGCTTACATTCCCATGTAATGATATAATTCCCATATCTCTGTCTTACTGCCTTTTATACCATTCACCATTTATACTATTCATTCAAGGAGAAATACATCTCAAGTAGGCATGCATTTGTATTTACTCCATAGCTTACAACAAACACCACAAAGTAAGCCTAAAAGGATGTCGATGACAATTAGAATTCAGTCTTCTGAAATCAGCCCCAAAGCTGCTAAATCTGATAGGCTTTTACATAATTTATTATTTAACTAATATTTTACTCAACCCTTCAGAGAGATTTTCACTGCAAGAATTAATTCCACCACTCTTCAAATTCACTCAACTTCTACAGGATCCTATACACTATTTCTTGCAGGGATGTAGTCACTCTAACTCGTACCCCTCTAACATGCAGATTACACTGATAACAATAATGGAAGTCAGTGAAAAATATACTTCATTACTCTGAAGTGATCTGAAGTACCTGGATAATTTTCATTTTAGCAGATTGTCAGCTAATGTGAGAAATAACAGCAAGAGGCCACAAAAACATGTTTATCACTGTTATTTCTCTGGTAATTGAACATTAGATTATAGTCACATAAAGCCTCATGCAAACAACTTTATCTTCTTATTACCATTTCCTTTGTCATACTAGCTCTTCAAGAGGTCTTTGCTGTGCAAATGAAGCAACAAAGGTGTTTAGGGAAGGAAAGCCAATTCATCTGAAGGAAATCCTCGGGAAAACATTATACCATAATAGAAAATTCCTAGAAGCAGAATGAATTTAGCCTTACATTCAGTTGACTAAAAGCATGATCAATATGATTTTGTACTCCCTGTGCACTACTAGCCTTCTCTTATCAGGACAAGTAATAAAACAGAAAAGAAATCTCATTTGAATCCTGTTGATGTATCGTGTCTAAAGCCAGCAAGATCTCCCTTCCACTGAAGTGTTTCACAGCACCGGCTAAGAAGAGTGAGTGGAAATGAACTGCTACACTTACATCTTTCTCCTTCCAGCAAACTGTAAATGCAGATATGCATTTTCAGATCTGGCTTAAGGTTGGCAAGAGGGTTTCGAAGCTCCAGAAGGAGGATTAGGTTTTGGGAGGGAGTTGTTTTGTGGGCTTTCTTTACCCTTTAAAAAAAAAACCAAACAAATCTGTAAGTTGTGCTGTGGAGCCACAGCCTCATTTTTATACTCCTACATGCTGAGAGTTTTGCTGGAATAGAAAAAGAAATAGAGCTTTAAATGTGGTGGCTGGGAAGAAAAGCAAAATAAAATAAAAACGGAAGATAAGAACAAATGTGTTTCAGGAGAGTCCTGATTTTGCATTCTTCAGGGCCTAGCACAGCAGTTCATGCACAAATAGTGCCTGCACCAAAATTGCTTCAAAGTGAAAGATGTTAAGAGCTATAAAATTTTTGTAATTATTTTTAACCAGGAACCAATGTTAAGCTGATTAGCATTAATGTTTCTTTAGTTGCAGCAGAAGACTAATTATTATAGAGTAAACCACTCTCACAAAAGAACCTCCCTCCCCTCCAACCCCCTTCCCTCCCCCCCCCCCCAAAAAAAAAAAAAAAACCACAACATATAAACAGGACAAATTCAATTTCAGATGTTGTCTGAAGGAATGATTTTTAGGGTCTTTTGTTATTTTTCATTTCACTTCGATTTGGATGTTTTTCAGGATTTTTTTTTTTTCTGGTTTAGGGTTGTTCATTTGTTATGCTTTTTCAATACACAGGTGTGGGAGCCAGTCTTTCTTTGAATGGTGTCATGGATACTTTTGCTTACGGTCTTACTATTGTATTGCAGCTTTACAAAAATTATCTAGGTAAGGTATAAAATCTGGATATGAGTGAAATGAGATGATTACCTCCACATCCTCTGTGGGAGAGAGCACAACTGTAAGGCCAATCCCACAAAAGGTATTGGAAGCTGGACTGAAACCTTGAATCCCTCACAGGACTTAATATTCATAATGAGAAGTTTGACCTGTTCTGGCATCCAATTATACAAAACAATATATATAGTTTAATAAGTTATCATCAGAGAGAAGGAAATCAAAGCCAAGTATGATCTCATTCTTCCATATAGTGTATTAACCTATCAAAAGACTTAGAGTACTCTATCACTGAAGCAACTTAATAATTAAATGGAAGATGTCCGGTGCTTTATCACCCTTTGTGTCTGTACTTTGCTAAGGAGAGGAGCATTTGATAACTTTAGGAAAAAAATGAAATAAAATAAAGCAGCTAAACACTGATTAGGAGCTTTAATGCAAAAAAACAAAGCTTCCACAGAATGCAATCCCAGATCCAAAAGAATAATTTCTTCCATAGTACATTTTCAGGAGTTGAGTTTATTTTTAAACTTAGATAATGATACATCTTCCATATTGTACAGACTGTCTGCTTAACTGTCTATTATTGTAGCTTGAATATTAGTTACTTGAATACAAACAGCTAAATACATTGACAAAGATAAATGAAGCTCTAAAAGAAATTAATGAACATCTCCCATTGTGAATGAGTTTTTCTTCTGTGACTACACTCAGATTGTGTTAATATAAACTTTCAGGCACAATATATTCTCTCACGGTGGTGTTTTTTCATCTGCATGATAATTTTTTTACATAATTATATATGGATTCTTTAATTTGGAATGTCTTTTTCTGCAAATTGTTCACAGAACAGAAGTTTAGAATGACCAAACCTGACACTTACAATCATTTTGGTTGATACCTTATGTGGGAGTTTCACACAACTTTCTGCTTTTATGTGTCTTCTGTTATACAAATCAAATGAAACAGAAAGCTTTCTTGAGTCTTGAATGTATAAATTATTATGAATTCCAACCTACTACAACATGAGCAACAAGAAGATAGCACATCCCAATGGTACAGGACACGATCATCATGGGGAAACCTAACCTGAAACAACAATAAAAGAAAAATCAATAATAATAATACTATTAATAATAAAGCAGTGACAAAAGCATGGATGTATTGTGAGATTACGACAGGGAGTCTAATACTCAACCTTACTTTTCTATCTCTATCCTACTTAAGAGATTTGTGGAAATCAACATAATGTTGTTGATTTCAATGCGTCACTTTCAATTTACTTTGTCTCACAGGTAAAATAACAATTCTTAGAAGTTACACAACATTGGGATAGATCATCCAGTATCACCTAAGATCAGATGAGCAACCCTAGGATATCTACTAGGGTAGAAATTCTAATTTCTGACTTAATCTATGGCTCAAACTCCTTTTTTTTCCTTCTAAGCCGCCGTCACATAAAGATAGTATTTCTTTTCTGTGCTTATCATTAAGTTTTGAATCAAGAGCTGAACATTAATGAATGGTTGGAAATAAAGCCCAGACAGATGTATAAGCACTAAAACTGTGCTGTTCAGTTAAAAACAGCTCTTTGCTTTACATCACAGATTAAGCTGTTCAGACCACAGCCATTATATTTTACAGCTTTCTTTAGATTGACAAACACAGGCAGCAGAGATGGACAACTACAAGGGATGTTATGGAATTCACTGATTCTTACTCTGCTAGTTTTGTAGGTCTTCCACGTCTGTGAAAAGAAGGGAGTTCATTTTCTGAAACTTAAAAAATGTTGTTTTGTGGCACTGAAGGACTATGAAGAATCACTACTGTGATTACACCAATTTGTTTTATGTTACTAAAATTATAAGAACTTTGATGAGAAATGATCACGTGACAAATGAGACTCCTTATGTAATTTCTTTTGTTGAGTCCAGCCAAGATTTTCCATAAACCTCTTCAAAGTGTGGTAGTGCTCTCTGAAGTGCAGCCTTTGATTTATTCTCTTTCTTGAAGTAAGACTTACTTATTACATATGGATATATTAGCTGTGGTTTTGCTTGCTAGGAGCCTTTGAGAAAGTTCCAGGAGCCCATATATTGATGACAGGAGAACACCATTTTCTGAGCTTGAGTGTATGAATAACACCTTATTTTGGGAAAGCACAGCTAAAAGAGGCCTCTTGGGACATTTAATCTCTCCAACACTTCCTGAATATAGGAGAAAATTACATAAAATGAAAAGTAAATACCTCAGTGTCTCATTGTACTCTACCCCCTCCACCTCCTCCTACCTGCAGCTGCAATGTTGCTCTAAGCATTGTGATATTCAAAAGTCACATTTATTTTGTTGCTGTTTTGCTGAAAAACTGACTGAAGAAGGCATAGATGTGACCAACAGAACAAAGGAACTCATCATCATAGGTTTAAGTTACTGATAACAGAATTCATCTCAGTAACTCAGATCACACCCTACCCCCAGCCAGATACACAAAAATCAGTCCTAGCCTAGAAAGCTGACTGAACAATTAGGAAAACAGTACAATTCAAACATTCTGAAGCAAACGTTGGAATTACTTAGTGAAAAATAAGCTTTCCCACAACGCTAGCTGTTCTTGACTCACTATCAGAATGAAACTGAAATGTACTGTTAGAAATAGAGGCAAAAAGAGGAGGGAAAAAAAAAAAAAAGAAAGAAAAAAAAAAAGGAAACACCAGCAAGTTTGAAAATGTTAGAGGGACAAAACTGTCAGGGCTAAGAGATCATCTCATTTCTGATTCCTTGACATCCCTCTGAAAAGGCTGTCATCATCCTGTGTCCATGAACATGCATTTCCTGTCCCAGAAGGACAGTTCCAGTGCCTAGCTCAAGTGGATTTCTCCTATGTTTCTCTGGGATTTAGGACCTGGTGTGCCAAACTCTCCTGACTTTCTGGTAACAGGCATTATTTTTTGTATTCTAGCTTCAAAAGCATTAATGTTAAGCTGGTATATGGAATTGGGAAAGCAGAAAGGGAGAAGAGGAGAGAGAGAAGGGCTGGGTGTGTTCAAGTGGTGAAAGCTGAGAAGAATTGTTAAAAAGGCTCACAGGAATTTCACAGCATTCAAATATTCCCTCAGAAGTCTGAAATATATTTGGAAGTGCTCATTTCTTTTTTGTTTTGTTTTGTTTTGTTTTTTTCCAGATCAGCATGTGTAATTATGTTGCAAGTGTTAAAGTTTGACTATTTAGATCCTTGCTTTTGAGCAACTACTTGGAAAAAAAAAAAAAAGAGTCATTATTCAGATCTTTAACATTATTGTTTTTATTCAGTATTCACTAAAGCTGGTAACATTGCAAAACAGAAGAACAAGACCTATTTACATTGGAATTATTTTAGAAAAAACAAAACAAAACAAAAAATAAATGAATTTGATGGCTAGCCAATCGTTCTGAATCTTTCCTTCTTCATCTGAGCATGTTTGATTTCCAGTCCTCCCTAATCTCATTTACATAAAAATGTCCAGATAGGGCAAAAACAAAAGAAAAGGCAGCAATGGCTGTAGAAATAAAATAGCATGGCTATGAAATCTTCCTACATCCTTCAGTATATTTCATGAGTGCTCCCTGCAGCTGAATCCATATGACATACTGGTGAAGTGGAGACTGCTACAACTCTCACAAGAAAACAGTTGTTATTTGACAGAAAACAGAATTTTATTGACCTCACAGTTAGCAAGCAAAGAACTGGTACTGAGAGAAATGAGCATAGCACAGATCTTAATCTGTACTAATACAGCCTAACAAACCTCCCTGGGGAACACACAGCAGCACAGCAGTGAATGGCAACATAATGCCTTTATGAAGATTTGTGATGGGATGGAAAAATTCAAACAGTTTCTCAACCGCTAAAAAGAGAAGAGACTCAGCATGAAGGGCGTCCATGCAAGAAAATGGGTGGATTACGCAGGATCTCATACAGGCATGCAGGAGCTGTAATCATGCCCCTACTTTCACAGTGGGAGCCAAACTTGCAGCAAGAGCCACACACAGCCTGAATGGTTGTGGTTGCCATCATTTAGCATGGATGGTTGCATAGAGCCCAGCTATGAAACCATTACTCTTGTGACATGGACAATTTCCTCTCAACTTGAGGCCTGAATCTCAGGACCACTAGCCTGAGCAGAAATGTAATTGCATCAAATTCTATGTGGAATTTGTGCCAGGGAGAAAGGAGATGAAGATCACTCCATGAATATTAGTTACTGCAGAGACAGTCAATTACCCGTGTCACATCAGTGCCCAGCTGTGCTATTGCTCTACCTCAGGGGAAGACACAGCTCCTGTCTCAGGCTACATACAACATAATGTTTAGGTACCTACGTTTTCTTTAGTTACATCAAATGTAAGAGCACATTTTAATCAATGTAAAATTTACTTTCCACAAATGCTCATTTTCAGCATTCACCTTGAAGTGATAAAGTAGCACGTCAGTTTTGTTCCTGCCCAGGAGAAATGATCAGTAATGCTTGGTAGTTCTAAGATCTCCTTCTCAACACTTCATGTTAGTAAGAAACACTAGCCAGCATCTTCATCATGAAAATACATTTTTACAAGATCTTGTAAGGGCAGCACATCTGGTGTGACATTTCTATACACCATCTAAGGGAAGAGGGCAGACACATCCCACACTGGGCAGCTTTTTCACCCCTTGTGGCCATTGCAGACAGGGAGATACACAGCTCCTGAATAGGACAAAAGATTCACCCTAACTCTCTGAACTGTAGCCAGTTCAGGGAAAATGCACTTTTCACTGCTTCAGAGAGGAAGGGATTGGTAACAGGACCTAGCATTTCCCCCACTTTCTCCTCCTTCTCTTCTTACCAGAATTTTACACGCAAACCTGCAATCTAAACAAAAATCACACTGCTTAAATATACACAAGCAGATGTTAGTTCAGTGTGAGATACTAGGAACATTTCAAGCAGCAGCCCCAGGGAGTTGTCTTGGACAAAGTTTTGCTTATTAATAACTTCAGTGATCCAGTAGTGAAAAGCTTGCAAATCACCCCAGTGCAGGAGAAATGTCAGACTCTGTGGAGAACATAATTCAGCATGTTCTTGACAAATTAAAACGAGAATTTGGAATGTGTAAGGTGAAACTCTGTAAAGAAAAGTGTGAAGTATGCATTAGGAGAAATCAAACACAGGCACAGAAACCAGCAAGGAAAACGAAGCTTTTTCATGGTAATGATCTAGTTATTTTTGATCCAGCCTCATTGCAAGATTTCTGACCCTGTATTTAGAATAAAAGTAAACTGGTAGGTGATTATTTTGAGGATAAATCCCATTTATAATTAGTACCCACAGAGGTGAGCATTACAGTTTTCTTAGGTTAGAAGTTTATCCAATATAATTTCTAAATAACAACAGAGCCTTTGGGGTCAAAGTTGCATTTTCCTGAACAAACTGATCTCTTGCCATACCATGCAACTCTAGTTTGTGGCACTTTAAGAACCAGCAGGACCTACAAGGTATGAGACCAAAGTTGATCATCTTGTACTGCCTAATTTGAGGCATGACATATGAAACACTCTTACCCATAAAAACACCACCTACTGGCACCACCACCCTGACAGTTGTAACTACAGACAGCTAGCAACTTACACAGTCTGTATATCCTCTGGGTACCAGTGCAAAACCATGCCTGCAAGGAAGTGGGGAACATTCAGTCCTTACTGATTGGGAAAGCAAAAGCAAAAATCTCCCAGGATCAAACATTCGGCAGTGAAAGAATTCTGGAGGCAGCCAGCGGTATGAGTTAAAGCTAACTTCTATTCCGGCTTGCACGCACAGTTTAACACACAACTTAAATTATACTGATGAGGTTTACATCAGGCTTAAAATTTTGTTCTTCTCACTTCATATCAGTTCCAGTCTGTACGCTCTATAGAAGATACAACATTCTCACCCATCTACTTGCTTCCTTTATTCAACACAGTGCAGCACACCTGAAGCTTGCCATGTCATCTGAAAATATTTCACAAAGAACAAATGATGGATAATTCTCATAATTCCTGGAAATTATCTAATCACATGCAATGCCTTGCCCTA